AGCATTATTAAAAAGTGCCAAAGAAGATGCAATAATAGGAAGCATTACTACTTTGAAAATTCAGCTCCATTAATTTTACGCCTGAATACAATCATCCAGAAAATAGCACATATCGAAGATGCATGTCATCAGCATAAAAGTGGAAAATTATAAATGTAATCAAATTTGACAATACTGAGAGGAGATGTCAGCTGCTGGTCATGGAGACTGCACTTCAATACAGCAAACTCCAGGAAAACTACAATGCCCCAGTGGAGCCAAACCAGTACTAAGCAAGAGGTTGTGGCACAAATTGGAATTTGCCATTCACAATGCAGTCTAAATAATACACTGACACTGGGATAGAAACACTCTTAAGAAAGCTCTGGTTGTGTCATGACCTATTGAAGGTTTTGCTTGTTTCACAGAGGATGATATGGAAATTTGAATCATGTTTTTAACTCTCCTGATCCCCGACTTCTTTACTCACCAGTCTTAGAAGCTGCTACATTTGGAGCAATCAGGCTAAGCCTCAGTTCCCAAAAGGCTCTTGACACCACATTCACCCTTTCCCAACTAGAGCAGCCCTATCTGAAGCCAGCTCTGTGTGCCACACACAAACCTAGGGCACAGGAATCAGCATGAGCTGGGAAATTTTTGCCATGCTAGAGGTACACTGACACATGCTGAGGGTCTCTGGGGACTGTGAGAGGCGTAAGAGGCAATTCCATGGGAGGAAACAACGTAAAGCCCTCTGGTAATTCAACCAGAACTGAACGAAACAGCAAGGCACGACATAAGACAGCCTGCAACCAAGCTGAGGGCTTTTACTCCTCTCTGTTCCAAACTGGGGCTGCAGCTGCTGCATTTTGCAGCTGCCTCTATTAAAAAGCTGAAAGGGTTTTTTTTTCTAACTCAACTAAGAGACTAAGACAACAGACTAACCTCTTTAGGCACAGCAGCCACAAGAGTAAAAAACAAGCTTGGGGATTTTTGACTGCTGCCATGGAGACATAATTTCTTAGTTAATAAACAAGAAAACAAAAAGGAATATATATATATCAATTCCTTCATCAGCATTTTAGCCTCTTAAACAGAAAGAGTTAGTCACAATTTTGGGTTAATGCATGGGCCAGCATTATGTACAATCAGATAATTTAGCTGGGACAACAGCCAGAGGAAGGGAACTCCAGGGGACTCATCTGAGGTGACTAAAATGGTAGCAGGGACTCAGAGCTGACACATGCAACTGCTTGAACTTTGGAAGAAAATCTAAACTGCTCCCCACTGCCCAATTAGCTGATGCATTGCAGCCATAGCTGTGGCATTGACCATAAATAGCACCTTGCTCACTTGTGCCTCTCCTGTCTTCTGGATCACCCTGTAGTCTCTGTCTTCATCTGAGATTGACAGCTCTCTTGAGAGGGAAGCTATCTTTTTAGCTACTGCAATCCAAATAAATAAATTAATACATTCCTGAGTACTAAAAAAGGCAACAATGGAAAACCTTTTATTGCAGTTATCTTAGCAGAAAGAAACTGCTTGATATGCACTGGTTGAAACAGTTGAAAACATTTTAAGTATTACAATATCAACTTTAAATACTCATCCAGAATGCCATGCTCCCACAACCCTATCTCAATATGTACAGCTTAAACAATTCCTGTAAAGAGCTTGACACCTACTCTAGAGAAAGTTCATTTTCATGACAGATCACTTCTCTATACTTACAGTTCCTCATGGGCAGTGAAGTTTGATGCAGGAATCCTGGCCTACAAAGAGTTTGGGAATTAGAGGTGCTCCAACAGCACTTGAAATCAAAACCACGTAAGTTTACAGATTTAAAGGGAAAATTGTTTTCCTTTTGTTGATGGAGAAGAGGTGTTAGTGGGGTGAAAAAAATTCTACAGAAAGCATATGGCCATCCCTTAATCCATTTTTATTTAAAGCAGGCAGGATTCTTAACAACTCTCTAGGCAATGAGAACTGATGAAGGGTTTGCATGTCTAAAAGCTTAAATAATTTCTACAGTTATTTTTGTTGACCTATGAAAAAGACGTCTCTCCAGAAATTCATAAATGACTCACACCATCACAAGTATAGTAAAGTAGCAACAAGGTAGATTCCTTTCACAGGAGGAAAATTATCACGTCCACTCAACTCAGTGGGAAAAACAAAAATCTAAACCACAACTGACAGGTATCTCCTGTGATGAAGAGGAGATGTGGCATTCACAAGGAAGAGGGTGTGTGTGGGTGTGTGTTTTTTCCTTGAAGTTGGCTGCTTCAAGGCTGGCTGCTTCAGTAGCAATAGAGACCTTTTCTGTGATTGTTTGAGCCCCAGAAGCGTGAATTTGGATATTGGAGCAATGTCTGTGTTCCTGCATTCAAATGCTGACTAGCATTTACCCTGTCAAAGCTCATATCAGCCTGATACAGGAGCAGTTTCCAATGTAACTTCTAATTCTCCTCTCTTCCTCTGCTGCTTTCACTCCCTTTTTTAATTACATTCAAGATGTTTTCTTATTGATTTACTTGTTTTCGTATTTAGATGCAGGGATTAGAAATTCTTTTTATACGGCAATTCAGTTTTCTATTAAAGGAAGTCTCTCATGCTATAAGCCCAGGGGGAACTGAGGAGGAGATTTTGATGCATGGAGCAGGTGGAGGCAAGATGGTATTTGGAGATTGCATTGCACTCTGCTCTATCTCAGCATCCTCTGCTGTGATTCATTGCTCTCTGCCACAAAAGCCACACACTCCTCTCTTGTGGAAGCAACTGTATTTGCCAAGTGGTCAGGATAGATATCATACAGCACCACTGCTCAGATGGGCAGGACTCCTGGCTCACAGAAAGGATTCCTAGTATTTCCAGAATACAGGAAAAAAAGCCAAAACAAACCCCTTGGAAATGTACAGATCATCTTTTGGTACTTAGTTGAAGTTGCATTCATTTTGTGACCCATCTGGGGGCTCAAAGAGTCTACAAGAAGTAACTAAGGAAAGCAAACCTCTTGCCAGGAGGCTTATGTTCATTCTGCAAACACAAATCCTTCTTTTAAAATTTTCAGGGTCTCAAAAACGAAAAGAAAATATTGAAAAACACCAATTTAAATAATGGAAAGATTCAGGGCCCTGAATGTGCAAATAGAACAGGAAATCCCAAGAAAAGGAGTATTTCTCTGGCTTATTTCTTACACTTAGTATCTATTTGCATTTCTACAATGTCCTTTGCAGAAAAACTCATAGATTCTCTCCAAGACTCCACACTTCCCTGTCAAGTAAAACATGACTTATTCTTGATTTTTCCAAGCTGAAAGTAAGGTTTAGAGCCCAGGAGATCTACTTACTAGCTCTTACCCAGAGCTTTCCCCACAGACCTAGGAAAAGAACCTGAGAAATTCTAACTTCTCAACCTCTCTGAATATCCAGGCCCCCCACTGGCCCCTATTTCACTGGAGACCAGATGCAGAAGCGTTCCAGAACACACTGAAACACTCCTACAAAGCAGTTTGTTTTCCCAGCTGACCAAGTGCTGGATGCTTTCAATTGTATTGATGATTAATTACATTTCTATCACTTTGGGAAATCTCCAAAAGGGGTGCTGCTATTACCTGTCTGCAGGGCTCGGGTGATGCTGCAAGCTCAGGATTAAGACAAGGTCTGCCTGTTTGTTACATTATTTATGCAGAGCAGATTGTTTGGCAATTACGTTTAAAGTACAATCACAGTGCCATTTGTACTTGCTGTAAAGAGGCAAAGTTTTTTAAGGCACTAATACCTTGAAAAGTACCAGGGTAAGTGGAAATGACTGTTCTCTCTTATTAGCTGCATGGTTATTTATACTTTTGCAGATTACCATGGTGCAGTGCAATTAGGCTTCTTAAGTACTGTTCAAATTGAGAAGTTTCAAGAGCTCTACTGAATCATTAACCCTTAAATGCACTTACAGAAATAAACATGCAGCAAATGGCCAAAGCCTGCTCCAAACAGAGGCTTTTAAATAACCTGCGAAGAAAGAAGTACAGGAGATCATCTGCCAGGAAGGGCTCACACCCAAGCAATGGCTACAATGTTCCACCAACTACACTTTGAGCAGGTTTCACAATAGCTGTAATACACCAGGCAAATCTGAAATAAAGTACTTGGTCTCACCAGCCCCCGGCTGACTTTTTTTCTTTTTTTTCTAATGTACCTAGGGTAAAAAACACCTGGTAGCAATTCTGTTAAAGGCATACCACTCCACAGGCAGGATAAAACTTTTTGGTGATTTCAAAGGTCAAGGAACTAACCTGTTTATATATAAGGGTGAATTTGGGGGTGAGGGGATTTTAAGTTATTTATTTATTATAAATACAGACACACACTTCCAAGCACACAGCTCTGTCCAGAAGCACGTTTCCCCAGGGCAGGACAGCCCATCTCCCATGCCAGACCAGGAACAGGGCAGCTGTGTGACACCATCCCAGTACATCCACAGTGGAGAAGACACCAGCACCTCACTGTGGCATCTCTAGTGCTTCAGCAGCTCTCTCCTTACAGCCCAACACACAGTCACTATCAAGATGACATCTTAGCTCACAGGAGTGAGGAATAAGGCTAAGATCAGCTAAGATTATATCATACACTGTGTTTTATTTCTTCTCAGGCACAGTTCTAGCAAGTATATGCCCATCTGTAGAGCTTGTTCTTGTTGCCAGTCTCACAGCAGAGAGAGGAAGGAAGGGACTGTCTAAGGACACCCAAAGGTGACAAGGAAACCAAGCTCCTCTGCATGCCAGGGAAGTGCCATTATATGAGGAAATCCTCTTGTTTGCAGACCCCACTTCATTAAAGGAATGTGTCCTAATCATGTATCCCTTTTCTAAAGAGCAGCTCCATTTGTCTCAGATTCTTTCCCAGCTCCTCCTCTGATGAACTCAGATACTCCCCCATGCCCACACCCCGGGCCAGCCCCCAGTGTGACAGGAGACACAGTGCAGCCCTGCATGGCAGCCGCTGTGATTTCCACAATGCACATACCTCCACAGTGAACTCTCCGTAACACTGCCCAGGTTGAAGTCGTAGAGCTTTGTCAGAATGAGAATCACCTGGAGAGGGGAAAGGGAGGGAGTGAGAAAGAGAGAAAGGGAAAAGAGGAGAAAAAAAAAATCGATGTTAGATTTTGTAACAATACACAGGGCATCTGAAACCACCCAAAGGAGAGCTGAGCATTTATCCATTAAAGTTGCAGTATTATAGGATAAAGTAGGTTTAAAAAATAAAATGAGAAATAATTAGCTTAGTACATTGTATAACCAGTAACACTTATTTTAATCCTAAAATGTTTTCTGTTTGAAATAAAACATGCCACCAGGAATTAATCAGACTTTGTGAGCTGACCTCTCTGCAACTATGATTATTCAAAGTCAGAGATGGAATTAAATGAACCCTTTTTAATTCAATAGCTTAATCTAAAATTACAGTCAACTTCTTTTGTCTCTCAACATTCTATCACTAATTATTCAGTCTCCAAGGAAAGAACTGGCAAGTTTTTTATGTAGATCCTCACCCACCAAAATAGTCCATCTTTCCTAGAGTCAGCTTTGTTTTCTCCATCTGCTGTCACTGATTCCAGAACGTGGCAATTCCTACATGCCATCACCTTTCCACAGTGGTAAAAGAGACACAGAGCGTGACATTCTGAGCATTCTGACATTCACGCACTGAGCAAGACAGACTTTCACCTGGATCTGTAGTGCTCAAGGACAGTCAGAGGCTCCAGGACTCACTGATTTTCTGGAGAGAACACTCCTGAGTCAGGCCCCTGCAAAACTGGGGCTAGGGGAGAGAGGAGTTAAGCAGTACATGGGGAACCACAGAGGAATATACTTTCCTCTGATATACCTGGTACTGTGACCTCAGATTTCACAGGTAAATATAATCCTCCTAGTTATAAGCTACATTGCCCAATACCTTTCTCTCCAGGAAGTTATGCATTCTGATACCTTGGGAGCCTCTGTGCAAGCTCCCAGGCTCATATTGGATGGGAACTTGTGCAGAAAGAACAGAGGTTTTTCAGTGGAAGGTAAGAGCATTTGACAATCTGCTCCATGCCTTTTCAGCATAACTAATGTCATACAGTTCATTCCCTTGGATTCTATAGGACCAGCCTCAAGGAAGAGCTCCAGGGCACCTCTTCATTTTGGTTTTGCATCATTTTAACATTTCAGCATCATTTTCTCCTTGCAGGATTCAAGCACAGGCCAGTTTCCCTCACATCTGCTCCAGCTGTGAGAGAGAGCAAAGTTTAAAGCTTTGCAGAAAAATGCCAAAGGATTAATCAATATCACAGCTGCTGCAGCACTCTTTTACTGTCAGCATAATACCAGGAAAAAACCTGTTCAAATTGTAAGGGACCTTGGTACGTGACTATGCAGTCAGTGCCCATCTTAATGACTTTAGAAGAGATGCTCTGAGCATTCCTCTCTCTCCTGGATTCACTTTTACCACCCCCTATTGCATTTTTCCTTTTATTTCCCCACGAAGAGACCTTTAGGAAGAAGATAATAGCCAAGCTGCTTCCAGCAGGGTGTGAAAAGAAACCTGCCCGGCAGATTTGAGTCAGCATATGCAAGTCCATGTCAGCTGAAACCAACGCTATGCTATGGGGAAATGAGGCTAACATCATTTTTAATGCAGCTTAAACCCTGCACACACCTTCCCATACAAAGGGGGAAGAGCCAGCTCTTCTGCAAGCTGCAGAATCGAGGTTTGTATGGTTTTGTGTGCCTCCTCCCCTTACACCCAGCAGGGTAGCCTTCTCCCACTAAAACCCGATGAGAATGACATTTTTAGGATGTTCCCTATATTCCCATGGGCACTGGGCCAGCACTCCTCTCAAGACTCTAGGAAGCCATGCACTGTAGCACAAGCCCTGTCTGAAATTAAACCCCTCGTATTGCTCACAACTCTGGTGAGGTTTCACAAAGTTAAGGTTTCAAGTTTTTGAGTCTAAGCACATTGAAGACAGCCGAGTTCAGTGGATCCTAGATTCAACCCTAAACATTGTAAATAAAATCTCTGTGTCTTGGTCAAATTTAAACAGATTCTATCTTACTTCTCCCCTAAATTGCAATTACAACTAAAGGCAGCATCCATACTCTCCCAGGCTTTTTGTGTCTCTCCTCAGATCTCCTATGCCCTATATTTTTGAAGACATCACTTATCTATTACCACCCTGCAAAATCCAGGATAACAACAGCTTTACAGAAGTGGGCTGAATGCTCCTCAGCTGCTGGGTATAAATTCCTAGTAAAAGCACGCTGTTTAGTATGACTTTTCTGGACTTTTGCCCAGGATGACTGACTAACATCCATCTCTACTTGTTGGTGACGCATGGAAAGCACAAGCGTGAGCATCCCTTTGCAGTATCTTACACAGGATCCCAAGAAACAGCAGGAGCTGCCTGAGGCAGTGGTAACACCTACAGCAACCTGTCCCTAAAATCATTCACCACACGAATCCAGGACTGGAAACATTCCCACACCACTAATCCAGGCAGCTTCCACTCTGCTCCCACTCGCACTTGAGAAAAAAACACCCCAGATTCAATAAAGCAACTATTGCAATGGTTTGGGAGTCTGAAAACCAGAGAGGGTCTGAGAGTTTGAACACACAGCCTTCCCAAGGAAAGGTGCAAAAGCACTTTCCCACTACATGCTGTTCATGTGAGAACACAGAGCAAACAGCTGCTCAGGAATCACCCCCGGGTTGAGACACAGACAGGAGCCTGAAAGGCAGAGCTGGAAAAGGCAGAGGTGGACCCTGAGCTGTGTCCATGGGGTGTGTCTGACACAGCTCTGCAGAGGAAACATCAAACCCTTTCAGGAGGATATGCTGAGGCTCCATCAGGCTGCCCCAGCCGTGCTAACAAGAAACATGAGGCAGGGGCAGATGTGGGAAAGTACCGATTTTCTACGGCATTGTGTTGTTTGAAAGCTTTCGTTGAAAAAGAATGGAACAAAATAGGAGGGAAATTGGACACATTATCCAAAACTGAATTCTGACGGGAGAAATAAAAATTTAAAAGGGAAAAGCTTCATTGACTCAAGCTACGACATTTGATTCCAATTTCTGCTTTGTAGTTGAAGAAGCTCAGCTTGTTTTTGTCAACACTAACAAATGACCTTTTTTTTTTCCCCATGCCAGTGTAATTTTGCATGAAAACCTTGGTGGTTTTCATTTGAAAAGCTGAAGTCTACTGAAAATTGGAGATTTTACAATTAAGGCACTATTTCAAAACAAAATATTTTTTTCCCCTGAACTGAAAGAAATCTGGAATTGCCATCCCATAGAAAATGCCCACTCTGCAACATACATTAAAACATTTTGCTCTGGGGGAAAAGAAATACAGATTTATTAAGTTCCAAGCAATTCAGAAACAGCAAAAGCTTACACTTAGGCATTATTTAATCAAAATAAAGAAAATACCTGTATAGTGCCAAATTAAACGGTTTCTATTCATGAAACCAATCTTGCCAAAATTAATTCCAAGTCAGATCAACGTTAAACTGCATTTTACTATGGGATCATATTTTTCACTTCAGGAAACACAGCTCAGATATGAAATTTCCTCATCTCCTCCAGTCTAGGCTCCACACACTACACTGTGCTTCCCAGGACACCCCAGGGCAGGTGTCCCTTGGGACACCAATCAGCTCAGCTTGTTGAAAGTGAAAAAAGGGAAAGAGTCTGCAGGACAGAATGTGGAAATAGGGAGGCTGAATTACAGCTCCCTTAAGGCAATACAATCCCTCCAGAAAATGCAATTTCAAGCTGAGCTTACACAAAACTTAATGACCTGAATAATTTAACAAATTGTTTTGGTTTTGTAGACAGAAATGGGAATGGAGAAAGGATAATCAGAACAAATATATTTTCTTCAGAAAGAAGTGATGTTCCAGTTCTACAAGAATTTTCTTATGTGCTTTGTTTTTCACACATGCATCTCCACACTGCATATAGGTTGGAGAATTTTTTCACTGTCTACTAAACATTCTGCTTTAAGGTTTATATAGAAAAATGCCAACAACTGTCAACCTTCAATGGTCTATACTTCAATACAGACCAAGAGCCTCTGGCACTGAGGAATCCTGACACAATGCTCTATAGCATACTAAACCACTAAATCCAGATTAAATGATGGACCACTTCTCTAAAATAAGGCCAACAAGTGTCCAAAACTGTCCAATTCAGCAGCCTTGAGTCTTGGCACAACTTGGCTGGCATGAAAACAGAAAAAATTACAACCAGGAACATTAGCCCACATTTCATTCTATCTCAAAAACACATCCCTGAAGGGATCCCTATTGTTCAGGCGATTATCAGGAATCTCCAAGCCCACAAATCACAACAGTACTCAGAAGCTTTTCAGAGTGTTTGGTGGCGTAACAATCTTCCATGCCAATAAAATTTTACTACGAAGAAAAATTACTTTAGTTCATTAAACCCAGCTCCAGACCGTGCCAATTCTAAACTGTCAAAGTGCTTTCCATATACCCCAGAGTGGAATATATAATGCCTGTTTCCCACAAATTAACAGTGCAAAGGCACTGCAGTTCCTTCAGCAAGTTGATAATGAACTTCAAAACAAGTGAAGAGCACCACACCAAAGGCTGTCACACTCCTGTCCCCTGTAAGGGGACATTCATACCAGAGGCACAAGAGGGAAGAGCACAGCAGCCAGAGAAAGCAGATGTCAGACAGATACCTGAAAGGCCAGCTCTGAGTCCCTTCAGGAGACATCTCTTCTCTGAGTGATCCTGCTATATCAGCACAGAGATTAACACAACTCATCAGCAGCCCTGTGCACATATTTGCCAAGTGTAATTAATTAAAGAGTACAGGGATGAGCACTAGGCAGCACAGAGCACAGCAGAAAGAGGGCAGATAAATTTACCTGTGAAAAATGAGAGCTCTCCACTTCCTCTGGCATGCTGGGGTCTGTCTCCTGCCCACAGACATATTTCCATGATGCTTGCAACATTTTCTACCCTCCAAGATAGCCACAGGAAGCTTGTCTGCAATTTCCATCTGCCATTCC